GTACCGAAGTGTCAGACAGTGTTATTGTGTCGGTGACGTACCGAAATGTCTGAAAGTGTTATTGTGTCGGCGATGTACCGATGTGTCAACAGTGTTATTGTGTCGGTGATGTAGCGAAGTGTCTGACAGTGTTATTGTGTCAGTGATGTACCGAAGTGTCAGACAGTGTGATTGTGTCGGTGATGTACCGAAGTGTCCGACAGTGTTATTGTGTCGGTGATGTTCCGAACTGTCTGACAGTGTTATTGTGTCGGCGATGTACCGATGTGTCAACAGTGTTATTGTGTCGGGGATGTACCGACACAATAACACTTTCAGACAGTTCGGTACATCACCCACACAATAACACTGTCAGACAGTTCGGTGCATCATCGACACAATAACACTGTCTTACACGTCGGTACAGCACCGACACAATATCACTGTTTGAGACTTCGGTACATCACCGACACAATAACCCTGTCAGACAGTTCGGTACATCACCGGCACAATAACACTGTCAGACAGTTCGGTACACCACCGACACAATAACACTGTCAGACTGTTCGGTACATCACCGACACAATAACCCTGTTGACACATCGGTACATCCCCGACACAATAACACTGTCAGACAGTTCGGTGCATCATCGACACAATAACACTGTCTTACACGTCGGTACAGCACCGACACAATATCACTGTTTGAGACTTCGGTACATCACCGACACAATACAGTTCGGTACATCACCGACACAAAAACCCTGTCTTACACGTCGGTACATCACCGACCCAATAACACTGTCAGACAGTTCGGTACATCACCGGCACAATAACACTGTCAGACAGTTCGGTACACCACCGACACAATAACACTGTCTGACAGTTTTATTGTGTCGGTGATGTACCGAAGTGTCTGAAAGTGTTACTGTGTCGGTGATGTACCGAAGTGTCATATATTGTTATTGTGTCGGTGATGTACCGAAATGTCTGAGAATGTTATTGTGTCGGTGATGTACCGACATTGTGTCGGTGATGTACCGAACTGACTGAAAGTGTTATTGTGTCGGTGATGTCCCGAACTGTCTGACAGTGTTATTGTGTCGGCGATGTACCGATGTGTCAACAGTGTTATTGTGTCGGGGATGTACCGACACAATAACACTTTCAGACAGTTCGGTACATCACCCACACAATAACACTGTCAGACAGTTCGGTACATCCCCGACACAATAACACTGTCAGACAGTGGTATTGTGTCGGGGGTGTACCGAAGTGTCAGACAGTGTTATTGTGTCCGCGATGTACCGAAGTGTCTGAAAGTGTTTTTGTGTCGGAGATGTACCGAAGTGTCTGAAAGTGTTTTTGTGTCGGGGATGTACCGAAGTGCCAGACAGTGTTGTTGTGTCGGTGATGTACCGAACTGTCTGACCGTGTTATTGTGTCGGTGATGTACTGAACTGTCTGAACAACGTGACCACACACTCAAATATAAATATCAGTTCAAACTAGCCAAACACTATGTGTAATAAAGTAAAACTACAATGGAACACATCATTCCTGGAAATGACAGTTGTTGTATCCATATAAACTATTTCTTAATATGTGGTGTCTGACATTGTTGTTGTGTCGGTGATGTACCGAAGTATCAGACAGTGTTATTGTGTCGGTAATGTACCGAAGTGTCTGCCAGTGTTATTGTGTCGGTGATGTACTGAACTGTCTGAAAGTGTTATTGTGTCGGGGATGTACCGACGTGTAAGACAGTGTTTTTGTGCCGGTGATGTACCGAAGTGTCTGAAAGTGTTTTTGTGTCGGAGATGTACCGAAGTGTCTGAAAGTGTTTTTGTGTCGGAGATGTACCGAAGTGTCTGAAAGTGTTTTTGTGTCGGAGATGTACCGAAGTGCCAGACAGTGGTATTGTGTCGGTGATGTACCGAACTGTATTGTGTCGGTGATGTACCGAAGTCTCAAACAGTGATATTGTGTCGGTGCTGTACCGACGTGTAAGACAGTGTTATTGTGTCGGTGATGTTCCGAAGTGTCAGACAGTGTTATTGTGTCCGCGATGTACCGAAGTGTCTGAAAGTGTTACTGTGTCGGTGATGTACCGAAGTGTCAAACAGTGTTATTGTGTCGGTGATGTACCGACGTGTAAGACAGTGTTTTTGTGTCGGTGATGTACCGAAGTGTCTGAAAGTGTTATTGTGTCGGTGATGTACCGAAGTGTCTGACAGTGTTATTGTGTCGGTGATGTAGCGAAGTGTCTGACAGTGTTATTGTGTCGGTGATGTACCTTCGTGTAAGACAGTGTTATTGTGTCGATGATGTACCGAACTGTCTGACAGTGTTATTGTGTCGGTGATGTACCGAAGTGTCTGAAAGTGTTTTTGTGTCGGAGATGTACCGAAGTGTCTGAAAGTGTTATTGTGTCGGTAATGTACCGAAGTGTCTGAAAGTGTTATTGTGTCGGTGATTTACCGAAGTGTCAGACAGTGTTATTGTGTCGATGATGTACCGAACTGTCTCACAGTGTTATTGTGTCGGTGATGTACCGAAGTTTAAGACAGTGTTATTGTGTCGGTGATGTGCCGAAGTGTCAGACAGTGTTATTGTGTCGGTAATGTACCGAAGTGTCTGAAAGTGTTATTGTGTCGGTAATGTACCGAAGTGTCTGAAAGTGTTATTGTGTCGGTGATTTACCGAAGTGTCAGACAGTGTTATTGTGTCGGGGATGTACCGAACTGTCTGATAGTGTTATTGTGTTGGTGATGTACCGAAGTGACTGAAAGTGTTATTGTGTCGGTGATGCACCGAAGTGTCAGACAGTGTTATTGTGTCGGGGATGTACCGAACTGTCTGATAGTGTTATTGTGTTGGTGATGTACCGAAGTGTCTGAAAGTGCTATTGTGTCGGTGATGTACCGAAGTGTCAGATAATGTTATTGTGTCGGTGATGTACCGAAGTGTCCGACAGTGTTATTGTGTCGGTGATGTAGCGAAGTGTCTGACAGTGTTATTGTGGCGGTGATGTACCGAAGTGTCAGACAGAGTTATTGTGTCGGTGATGTACCGAACTGTCTGAAAGTGTTATTGTGTCTGATGTACCGAACTGTCTGACAGTGTTATTGTGTCGGTAATGTACCGAAGTGTCTGAAAGTGTTATTGTGTCGTTGATGTTCCGAAGTGTCAGACAATGTTATTGTGTCGGTTATGTACCGAACTGTCTGATAGTGTTATTGTGTTGGTGATGTACCGAAGTGTCTGAAAGTGTTATTGCGTCGGTGATGTACCGAAGTGTCAGACAGTGTGATTGTGTCGGTGATGTACCGAAGTGTCAGACAGAGTTATTGTGTCGGTGATGTACCGAACTGTCTGAAAGTGTTATTGTGTCTGATGTACCGAACTGTCTGACAGTGTTATTGTGTCGGTAATGTACCGAAGTGTCTGAAAGTGTTATTGTGTCGGTAATGTACCGAAGTGTCTGAAAGTGTTATTGTGTCGGTGATGCACCGAAGTGTCAGACAGTGTTATTGTGTCGGGGATGTACCGAACTGTCTGATAGTGTTATTGTGTTGGTGATGTACCGAAGTGACTGAAAGTGTTATTGTGTCGGTGATGCACCGAAGTGTCAGACAGTGTTATTGTGTCGGGGATGTACCGAACTGTCTGATAGTGTTATTGTGTTGGTGATGTACCGAAGTGTCTGAGAGTGTTATTGTGTCGGTGATGTACCGAAGTGTCCGACAGTGTTATTGTGTCGGTGATGTAGCGAAGTGTCTGACAGTGTTATTGTGGCGGTGATGTACCGAAGTGTCAGACAGAGTTATTGTGTCGGTGATGTACCGAACTGTCTGATAGTGTTATTGTATCGTTGATGTACCGAACTGTCTGAAAGTGTTATTGTGTCGGTGATGTACCGAAGTGTCAGACAGTGTTATTGTGTCGGTGATGTACCGAACTGTCTGATAGTGTTATTGTGTCGGTGATGTACCGAAGTGTCTGACAGTGTTATTTTGTCGGTGATGTACCGAACTGTCTGATAGTGTTATTGTTTCGTTGATGTACCGAAGTGTCAGACAGTGTTATTGTTTCGGTGATGTACCGTACTGTCTGATAGTGTTATTGTGTCGTTGATGTACCGAACTGTCAAACAGTGTTATTGTGTCGGTGATGTACCGAACTGTCAGACAATGTTATTGTGTCGGTGATGTACCGAACTGTCTGATAGTGTTATTGTGTCGGTGATGTACCGAACTGTCTGATAGCGTTATTGTGTCGGTGATGTACCGAACTGCCAGACAATGTTATTGTGTCGGTGATGTACCGAACTGTCTGGTAGTGTTATTGTGTCGGTGATGTGCCGAAGTGTCTGACAGTGTTATTTTGTCGGTGATGTACCGAAGTGTCTGACCGTGTTATTGTGTCGTTGATGTACCGACCTGTCAAACAGTGTTATTGTGTCGGTGATACCGACGTGTAAGACAGTGTTTTTGTGTCGGTGATGTACCGAAGTGTCTGATAGTGTTATTGTGTCGGTGATTTACCGAATTGTCAGACAGTGTTATTGTGTCGGTGATGTGCCGAACTGTCTGATAGTGTTATTGTGTTGTTGATGTACCGAACTGTCTGACAGTGACATTGTGTCGTTGATGTACCGAAGTGTCTGATAGTGTTATTGTGTCGTTGATGTACCAAAGTGTCTGACAGTGTTATTGTGTCGGTGATGTACAGAAGTGTCTGATAGTGTTATTGTGTCGTTGATGTACCGAACTGTCTGACAGTGTTATTGTGTCGGTGATGTACCGAAGTTTCAGACAGTGTTATTGTGTCGGTGATGTGCCGAAGTGTCAGACAGTGTTATTGTGTCGGTGATGTACCGAACTGCCTGACAGTGTTATTGTGTCGGTGATGTACCGAACTGCCTGACAGTGTTATTGTGTCGGTGATGTACCGAACTGTCTGATAGTGTTATTGTGTCGTTGATGTACCGAACTGTCTGACAGTGCTATTGTGTCGGTGATGTACCGAAGTTTCAGACAGCGTTATTGTGTCGGTGATGTGCCGAAGTGTCAGATAGTGTTATTGTGTCGGTGATGTACCGGAGTGTCTGATAGTGTTATTGTGTCGGTTATGTACCGAAGTGTCTGATAGTGTTATTGTGTCGGGGATGTACCGAAGTGTCTGATAGTGTTATTGTGTCGGGGATGTACCGAACTGTCTGATAGTGTTATTGTGTCGGTGATGTTCCGAACTGTCTGATAGTGTTATTGTGTCGGTGATGTACCGAACTGTCGGATAGTGTTATTGTGTCGTTGATGTACCGAAGTGTCCAACAAAGGATTACTGGTTCCTGGTCACGGTACAGTTTTTCGGCAAACCAGAGTTAGACTAGAGTCATTAATCGTTCTATTCTGTGTTGTAAACTTCCGTCACAGTTTGATTTTTGGGATAGAATTGTCAGAACGTCGGCAACGTGTAGCGTTATAAATGAAAGATAAAACTTATTGATTAAAATCGTTCAACGTAGAGACAATGAAAAAGAAATGTGATGTTTTCGTCATTATAAATTGTGTTTTTCCCATTTTTAAACAAACGTATAGTTTGAAAGAACCCCGAATAGAATTTATGGGAAAATTCGCGTCCAAAATAAGTCTTTTTATTGTGTCATTGTGTCAAAGCTGAACTATAATAATAGCTAAATGTACTAGTTAACAGAAACAATACATTCTTGCTAAATAATAAGATCATTATTTGTGTGTCACGGGACGCAAGTAAAGTGTCAACGTTATTATTGTGTGTTGTGAAGGTTTTACATTAAACAAGAGGCCCAATGGCCAAATCTAAATCTGAAATGAATACAATTCTTATTCTCGTCATCTAAAAATCCTTTATGAATTGTTTGTCAAAATCCGTCAGTTAGTTATAAAGAAGAAGTTTTTTGATAGTTGTGTACTCTGTAACCACTTAAGGCTCCTCCCCTCAGCCACTTCAGGTTAGCCTTTCTAACTCATGAGTGTAGATTATAATCCCAATCTCAAGTTAATAATTCCGATCAGGTTTTGTAATATCCGAGAGGCGAGTTCTGAGAATTTAAAAATAACCATTTTATACCAATTAAACGATGAGAAGAAGAGAATTTCGTAAACGAGAAAATGTTATATACTTCCTCACGCGACCGGTGAAACAAGACATTGTTAGGAGTACGACTTCCAGTGAAACGGGACATTGTAGGGAGTACGGCTTCCAGTGAAACAAGACATTGTAGGGAGTACGACTTCCGGTGAAACGGGACATTGTAGGTAGTACGACTTCCAGTGAAACAAGACATTGTAGGGAGTACGACTTCCGGTGAAACAAGACATTGTAGGGAGAACGACTTCCTGTGTAACAAGACATTGTAGGGAGTAAGACTTCCGGTGAAGCAAGACATTGTAGGGAGTTCGACTTCCAGTGAAACAAGACATTGTTAGGAGTACGACTTCCAGTGAAACAAGACATTGTAGGGAGTACGACTTCCGGTGAAACAATTTTTATAGTATGACATAAAACGACCTGTATTATCTTAGAACACTCATTGAACATATGGTCGAGAACAAGATCAGGATACTCCTCCACATGTGTTTGTGTAGAGGATAGGAAATTCTACCGAAGGGGTCATCAATGGAGTAAAACCTGAGGTTTTGCCAAGGGCTTGCTCCCGATTCATAAACCTGCGTGCGGAATGAACGGTTTTTTGACATACAGGAATAAAAGAGTACCAATTTTCTGTCATTTTCATCTTCATATGTCTAGCAAATATAACTAAATTATGAGAAATTTTCACTTGTTCTGCAAACTTAAAACGTTGAAATGACTTAATTGTGACGCCACCACGCGTAATGTGATTTAAGTATAACATTTTTGTACAACCCACGTGACTGCCTCCTACCCTGAACAGTTTTCTAATGTGCACACGCCGAGACAAGAGAAATACAATTCTTCTAAAATTATTACACTTTACAACACACCCGTGCATTAAAAACAGATGTCTTATTGACAAAAACGTTGTTTAAATGTATAGAAAATTAAGAAAAGACGCATAAATAACAAGATATTCCAAATATCTTGTTAAATTAACTCGCATACAATTGGTGAAAATGTGGGTTTAAAAATAAAATAAATCACGTGGTCACTTCCGTTCGTCATCGATAATGCCACACTTCAGGCCGAGCCACCGGAACTTAGCTCGGACCTCTTCCTGCATGAGTTCGAAGCACATGGCTATCAATGACAGGCCAAAAATAAGGTAGAACGCACAGATAATGAGTTTCTGATTATTGGAGAAGGAATATACCCCGGCCCCCGGAACAAAGTCCCCAAACCCCACCGTGCTGAGGGTGATGAAGCAGAAGTAAGACCCCACGAGGTAATCCCACCCCTCCCACATGGCGAACAGGGTCGCGCCGCCGAATATGTACGCCGCAATTAACATTAGGCTGACCAGAATCGGTACGCGCACTTTCTCGTTCTTGTTGTTTGTATTTGATGTTTTGTCCCCTATAACGATTGTGACTTCATCGTGTAACTCTCCCTTCTTTGAAGATCGGATAAGGTCTGCCTCTTCTTTCGTGGGCGTTTTAATGCGGCTATCAGATTGTCTGTGCCACTTGGCTTGAGACGGGCAACACAGCCATATCACCGCGAGACACACGTTCTTGTAAAGGAACCGGAAACAGTTGGCTAGGAAGGACCCCATATTAGCCAAGCACAGTAAAGTTAGAGGAATTCCGAAAAGAGCGTATACAACGGTGACCATCCGTCCATTGGCGGTTTTCGGGGCTATATGTCCGTAGCCTGTAATATATAAAAAAAAAAAATGAAAACATCAATAAATGTAAATTCAACATACAAGTGATATGTCCTGATTTTATCGAATCATTTTCTATTTTATATATTTGTTTAAGTGGGCAGAGCGTGCAATTTTATTATGTAATCTAATACAAGTGACAGGTATGCGTCTACTGATACCTTTGTACCTGTGGGATTCCCTAATGTCATCATTCACTGTCCGGATTACTCGTCCCGCCGACTGGCTCCTATTTATAATTGATTATGCAGATCGTGTCTCATGATACTCGGGTTACATCGCCTCCTCCATCGTTAATACAGCTAGAGAGTGCTAATGTTTTCTATTTACATACCCATTAAATCACTAAGGAAGGGTTTGTGTAAATACCAAAAACTCAATACGAGCATGTTAAAAGGGTCATGTTATTCTGAATGAAAACGCATATTCGACGGAAAACCGGACGTAATTATCGGAAATATTTAAGTGCACGAACTAAAATGGTTCCTCTCTTTAAATAAGTGTTGAATGAAGCATAATATTTTTATATGTCCGCTTACATGTTGCATTATCTGCCCATGTCCTGCATTATGTAAATCACGTAAGTTTACGTGACCGAAAAGTCAATGATCACGCCATAAAATTGACAAGACGACTTTTATAAACGGATATAGATCCTTCCTCGAATTATAATTAACACTTCAATTGAATGGCATGTGACGTCATATTCGTACCAGGAGTGAAGTCCTTTACTCTAAATAGTAAATGACGTCACAGCACCTCTAAGTGGTTTCTGACGTCACGGCATTACGCTCTAATGTGTTCAGTGCTTTACTCTGAATTGTTTGAATTGACGTCACTGCATCACAAACTGCAAACATGAGTACAGTATTTTACTCGAAATTGCATATGGTCACGGCATCTAAATGGTACATGACGTCACGGCATGGCGGATTGCTGTCAGGGATGGACGTAGCCCTATACTCTTAATGGCCTATGACGTCACTACACCACCAATTGTTATCAGCAGTGCAGTCCTATGCTCTGAATTTGATATGACGTCACTACACTAGAAATTATTATCAATGGTGAAGTCCTTTACTCTGAATGGTATGTGACGTCATTACACCAGAAATTACTATCAGGGGTACAGTCATATGCTCTGAATGGTATGTGACGTCACGACACAACTTGTGTAGTCCTGTACTCTGAACGATAGATGTATATTTATATTACATTTCTGACTGATAAGTTCATATATCAAATATATACTTTATCTGTAATTGTACTTCTGAGCCTAATCTTTCAACGTAGATCTAGGTTATACCCAAGTTGGTTGATTGCTACCGTTTTGTCTAGTTATACTCAAGTTCGTTGATTGTACACAGCGCTACCGTTTTGTCTAGGTTATACTCAAGTTGGTTGATTGTACGCAGCGCTACCGTTTTGTCTAGGTTATACCCAAGGTGGTTGATTGTACACGGCGCTACCGATTTGTCTAGGTTATACTAAAGTTGGTTGATTGTAAACGGCGCTACCGTTTTGTCTAGGGTATACTCAAGTTGGTTGATTGTACAAAGCGCTCCTGTTTTCTCTAGTTTATACCCAAGTTGGTTGATTGCTACCGTTTTGTCTAGTTATACTCAAGTTCGTTGATTGTACACGGCGCTACCGGTTTGCCTAGGTTATACCTAAGTTGGTTGATTGTACACGGCGCTATCGTTTTGTCTAGGTTATACCCAAGGTGGTTGATTGTACACGGCGCTACCGATTTGTCTAGGTTATACTAAAGTTGCTTGATAGTACACGGCGCTACCGTTTTGTCTAGGATATACTCCAGTTGGTTGATTGTACACAGCGCTTCCGTTTTGTCTAGGTTATACTAAAGTTGGTTGATTGTAAACGGCGCTACCGTTTTGTCTAGGATATACCCAAGTTGGTTGATTGTACACGGCTCTATCGTTTTGTCTAGGTTATACCCAAGGTGGTTGATTGTACACGGCGCTCCCGTTTTGTCTAGGTTATACTCAAGTTGGTTGATTGTACAAAGCGCTCCTGTTTTCTCTAGTTTATACCCAAGTTGGTTGATTGCTACCGTTTTGTCTAGTTATACTCAAGTTCGTTGATTGTACACAGCGCTACAGTTTTGTCTAGGTTATACTCAAGTTGGTTGAATGTACACGGCCCTACCGTTTTGTCTAGGTTATACCCCAGTTGGTTGATTGCTACCGTTTTGTCTAGTTATTCTCAAGTTCGTTGATTGTACACAGCGCTACAGTTTTGTCTAGGTTATACTCAAGATGGTTTATTGTACACAGCGCTACCGTTTTGTCTAGGGTATACTCAAGTTGGTTGATTGTACGCAGCGCTACCGTTTTGTCTAGGTTATAATCAAGTTGGTTGATTGTACACAGAGCTACCGTTTTGTCTAGGTTATACCCCAGTTGGTTGATTGTACACGGCGCTATCGTTTTGTCTAGGTTATACCCAAGGTGGTTGATTGTACACGGCGCTACCGTTTTTTCTAGGTTATACCCAAGTTGGTTGATTGTACACGGCGCTACCGTTTTTCTGGTAAATGATTCCATATAACAAACGTTTTTTCTGTCATTACGCCTTGAATATTTTCGGCAGAGCCGATTTAAGATCGAATTGTGATTTGCCTTGGGGAAACACCTATGTTATATGACGCGCTAGGTGGCGCCATGTGTACCAAGCTATCTCTTGTTTAACTTTGTCAACAGGTTGATACATCTTTTAATTATAGAATTTGAGACTTTCTCGACATATTTTCCAAAACGGAATTTTGTAAGGTATCCTAAAATCGGAATATTGACCTTCTCTATAGCTTGGCAAAGAATCCTTATTCCCAAACCATAATTCCTTGACTGAAACTCAGCAGGAAAATGTGATACAACCTCTATAGACAATAGTTTTTGAGGGTTGGAACGAGAAAGTACATGACACAGAACCTTTGTAATCAATTGACAATAGGAGGAAACACGAGAACCGAACACACATTCTGTCCCGGTGAGGGTGATTGCCCTCGTATTGTGATGCGCAGATATCGTTATACTCAGCAATTTTATGTGCATATTGAACATATAATCATGTGTCGATTTCAACAGTATTGCGTCGTGTATTTAGCTCCCAGGGGCCATATAAACCTTTTACACTAATGTCCCAAGTCCCCGTGAACGAGAGTTGCTCAAAAACATTTCCGCGTGTCACCAAGGGTCGTCAGTAGGAAAAGGTCGACAGAATTAGATGACATCAACAAAATGTTTTTGTATGGCGGGGAGCCAGCTATAATAGTGTTGACAGCTGATGACCAGTATGTAAATTTGACAATATCCCTAGAGGTAACCGAACCGGAGTATCACTTAGACGTTAGACAAACAACCATCTTTTAGAGAAACACGAGTTGTTGAAATGCTATTATTATTCTAGAATAACGGCTGAAATGACAATTCAGACAATCGTATCATACCAAGCATGTCTGATGATTCACGAGGGATAGCGTTTAATTATCGGTGATACGTTCAATTTTTAATCCATGCCTTATCCAGCACGTGAGGGAACACACCTGAAGAAAAAGCGTATCCCTGTAAAACGATATTCATAGAGGGCGGAGCTATCTCAAGGGCCCGAAGGGCCCGTGAGAGCGAAGCTCTCCCTATAGGTAACACGTATGTAAGAAAAATAAAGATTATTCACAATACCTATGGAACTGAAATACTTGTCTTAACATGGCCGCCAGTCGCAGGCGCTGTGGTCTCCGCCATCTTGATCTCGAAACAAGTTCTCGTTTGCCGAGTCTCGAACAAACGTTACATTTTTGTAAGATTTAAAACTTATATCTAACTATAGGATACGTAAATATTTGATACTTTCCGGTTAAAGATGTAAATTCTCTTGACATTACGTTACCGGCTACATTGCTCTAGCTCTGAATGGTCGAAAAATTATTGTATCGGCAGTGTAGTCTCGTTGAATCAGACGCTTGCGCAGACAACAAGAGTCTGGTTGAACGAGACTATCACGCAGAGTTACGGTCCTTGCACTCCCTACGACAACTCTGGGTAGAGATTGCAGTGGTATATATTTAGAAAACGGAATATCAACAAAACAACGTGCTGGTTGTCAACAAAAAGGGAGTTTATCACAGTGACGCATAATGATAGGATACAAAAACATACAAGTATTTTCATAAGATTTTTTTAATTGATATTTTGCACGAATAAAAATAGAAAAAAAAAATTGAATCCATACTGTACTGTAACATTTTCATTTTTGATTACTATCTCATAGCTATTTTTTTATTCATAAAAGAAAATCTGCTGTTTTACAAATCTGCACGATTTAAAAAAAAATCTATACAGTTTTATGTGCTGAACTGATTCAATTTCTAATTGAGGAAACAATACATTTTCTCTATTGCTAAAACTATACATAAAGCAGAGACATATAAAGCATATAGTCAGTAAGTTGCTGAAACAAATGTATTCATCCACAATATATATCTGTTGACTCTCTTGGCTGCAATGATGGGTATTGAAAAATGACAAAAATTGTGATTTCGCATATTCTTCTTATTTTTAATAGAAACTTCATATAAATCCAGTTTTTATAGCACTGAACAAATTAATTTTTACACATAAAAAGCACAAAAATTGTAAAATACTTTGCATAAATTCTCTCTGGATACAATATTTATAAATCATTGAAGTTAAGTTTGAAGTAATTCGTAAAGATATATACATATATATATATGTATATCTTTTCGTGGATATCAGATAACTATGCTATTATACATGATTAACAATATCCATCCTAATATGTTTTATTTCAATGTCTTTGTAGAATATGCTGCACTTGATTTTTGCAATGGATTCAAGAGGTGCAAATTTAAATACTTATATAGAGTCTAATGAACCTTTCGCATTCTCACATTAATGTCATGTCATCATACGCCTAGGCGGAAAACTTCAAGATATCAAACATCTTG